AACTTACCGATACCTCTCCCCTTCAGTAACAGGATTTGAATTTAGGACCTTGTGCTTGCAAGGCAGGTGGCAGTGCCATGACCAACTTTTTTTTTTTTTTTAAGAGGAAGAATTTTATAGTTCATCAGAATTGATACTAGTTAATTTCCTTAGTATAATTCCTTGTGACTGAAAAAGACTGGAGTTTTTCTTCATCTCTGTCTTCCCTATGGTTTCCATTCTTTTTCAAGAAGTGATGTACAGGGAAGCATGTAGATAAGGTAGCAACTGTGTGACATCTGCCCATTGTTTTCACTGCCCCTCTTATTTACTATTCCTGTCCCCAAGAAAATTTGGTAAATTTTTTTCTCCCAAATCTTTAGAATCATTTGGGAATAGTGTATAAAGAAAAAAGGCTTTATTAGAAAGATTTTATCACACCAGGTTTACTTAGGAATTGTCCGGAGGTTTTATCATACTGTTGATATTAGAATTGATTTGATTAATTTCCTTGCATGGTTGGTATTTCTTTTCTTCATATTTCATTTGCTCCGACATATATGAGCAGTTTGACTCTGGTTAGATTCCACAGTGTAGAACAGATCCCCTACTTATTTCACGATGAAAGTAACTTTAGTTTAGACTTTAATTCTGGGGCCTCAGGTCCATTTTACTTCCTTTGCTAATTAATTTTTGTGTTTTCATGCTTGTAGCAGGTTTTTGTTTTTTGGGGGGTTTTTTGGGTTTTTTTTTGGTACTGGGGATTAAAGTCTTCCGACAGCCTTAATCTTACCTGAAAATAGCTGGTTTTCTTACATGATAGAGAAATTATAGGCAATGCTACAGTATTTTTCTCTAAAACTTTTGTTAGGTAGAAAATGTAGAAATGCTTTGTATACTCCAAGTAGTCATAAATGGTATGCTGGTTTCTTTGGACTTTTGTTGTAGTCTTTTAAGTTTTTGTCATTTATACACAAAGACTTTATTCTTGAGGTAGAGCAGCCTCCCAGAACAAGGTCACCAGAGTATTTCTTGGATCCTGGGTCTTGACTTTGCTCAGTTTGTTTCAAGTAGTCTTCAAAACCTTCTTGGTTAAAAAGTATTTTACTTGTTGCATTTTCTCAACTCTGAATTTTAAGAACTATAGTCTTTAAGAAAAGAAATACCAAGCCAGTCAGCCATGTTGATGCAAGCCTGTATTCTCAGCACTCTGGGAAGCTGAGTCCTGAAGATCACCAAATTCTAGCCCATCCTGGGCAGCTTTCTTAGTGCGACCCTGTCTCAAAATAAAAAGGTAAAAATGGCTAGGGAATGTAGCTCAATGTGAAGATTCTGAGTTCAATACCCAATAATGCAAACATACAAAAAACTGTGGAGCAAGGCATCACCTTAATGGCTTTGTTAAAGTATATGTGACTTTAAGATTTGTCATTAATATAAAATTAGAATGTCATTGTCAGGTCTTCTAAAATATTTAAATATCTTTGAAGTGGCCTTTTGATATTTGGATGGTCACTTCTTACTTTGGATGTGGTCCTTGCCACTGTGTTACATCTGTTTATCTCAGAGTGATTGATCTGAAGATTAATTTCAGAAGACCCCAAAAATGTGACTACAAAATGTTCCTTAGAGGTACAACCCTGTGTTTAAAACATTGGGAACTAGGCTATGTGTATCATGTCAGTTAGTGTTCCCTAGAGGAACAAATAATATATATGATTTACAGAGTAGGCTTACAATGGCCACTGTGGAGTTAGGATTGGAAGAATCTAGAGAGTCATCTGCATGCTAGAGAGCTGGAGGATTTATCCAAAAAATTGAAGGCCTGAGCTCACTGCAGAGTTCAGGTATCAGAAAGCTGAAGGGTTTTTGTTGGAAGCCTGAAGGAACTGGAGACTGGTGTCCAAAGGTGATAGCAAAGACCAGAGCTCCTGAAGAAGTAAAAAGCATAGACTTTTTTTTTCACTTTTTATTCCACTCAAGCGACGAGCCTATTGGTTGGTTGTCATCCACATCCCAGCTGGGTTTTCCCTCTTCACTTTGCAGCTTATAAGGCAGTGATCCAGACAAAGCCAGAATTGTGCTCTGCTATCTGCTAGGTGTTTCTTAATCCATTAAAGTTGAAACCACAATTAACCATAATAGATAAGCCTAAATTTGCTAAGGATTTTGTGAAAATTATGTTCTACATTGAACAGTCTTCAAAAGAAAGTCTTTTCCATTGTTTCCTAAGTCTGTTGTGATTTGGGATTTCTATATTGGGGTAAAAAGTAAAGGATATAATTCTATGTACTAGTTTTATCAGGAAGTTTGTACCATGTAAGTGGATTCTAATTATAATAACTATTCCCAGGAGTTCTCTGGCGAGAGAAGGCTTGTAAGCTAATTTCCTCTGCTCTGTTGTTCCTGAGAGACAGTGGCTTGTGTGTGTGTGTGTGTGTGTGTGTGTGTGTGTGTGTGTGTGTGCCAGCGATTGAACTTGGGTCCTTATGCTTGCAAGTCAGGCGGTGGCACTACTGAGCTAAATCCCCGGCCCAGTGGCAGTTTTTTGAAGACCAATTTTATTATAATGACTTGTGTCATATATATAGTATGAGAATCACTATACTATGCTTTCTGGGAAATTTATTATTGGGCAAAGTGGTTATTTAATGAAAAAGATTTGTTATGATTTGTATGTTTTCATGAGGGTTTTGGTCTCTTGAAAGCAGTGTTTCTCTGTTGTGCCCCCCCCAATCCAATTTCTAGTGACAAGGGTAAATTGTTTGGCTGTCCTAGAATCAGTTGTTTTAAAATTTTGTCATGTGCCTTTGCTTTGGGATAAGTGTGGAAACCTAACCATACCAATTTATTTGTAAATAGCTCTTTTTCTAGTAAGGAATGAATGGTGGACATAAATTCATTGTAAAGATTGTTCATTTATTTCCTTCCTGTTACTATGGAGCTTATCTTTTTGTATTATTAGGGAAGTATAAGAAAACATATGGAGTTAGTCTTTCAGCACTAGTAGGAAAGTTGTAAAATATAATAGAGCCGTGTAAAGTGTTGTTTAAAGTTTTATGTTAATCTTTCTTAGTCTTTCTTCATTTGCACATTAGACATAATATATTTGTTTTTGTAATTGTTAAAGTAGGTGCGACAATGGGAAATTTCTTCATAAACAATGACAATTTTTCAGTTATCATATTGCTAAATTGGTTGATTATAATGCTAAATAATAACATGCTTTTCCTTGGCACAAACTACTGACTAGCAGTGCTGGTAATAGTTATACCAAGTATGACTATACCTTGCTATTCATTTCAGCTGTGGTATTTTAGGTAGAGCAGTTTGATTGAAGAGCTTGATTTTGGAATAAAACTTCTAAGATGCTTGAGGTCTGTAGAAAGCCCGAGAGCTATTGCTTCTGATATACCTAGACATTTCATGTTAGAGAGCATAGCCTATAAGATAGCTTTGTAGTTTCTCTAACTGCTTGAGAGAAAGTATACTAAATCTTTCAGTTCCTACTAAGATACTACTTTTTCCCACAGTTGTATAAATGGGTGAAAGGATTGGTCCTGGTCCACATGAAATCTCAGTGTTTTTTTGAGACAGGGTCTCATGTAGTTCAGACTGTTCTGAAACTAACGTGTAGCCCTTGCTGTTCTCGAACTTGCAGTGATCCTCTTGCTTCAGCCTCCCGAGTGCTGGGATTACAGGTTTGCACCACCACACCCAGCTGAAATCTCAGTTTTAAATTAAGAAACCTTAGAGAGGTGTCTGAGTAGATCTTTCTACTCTGGTTTTAGTATTTTAGCAGAATTATTTCATGTGTGCTTTTTCTCCTTTGCAAGTCACAATTCTGGGATAGACTTTCCCACAGTTAGTGGTTAGAATGAAGAGATGTTGAATTCTGGAGTTGTGATGTATTACCTTCTGTAGTTTGTTCTCAAACTTCGGACATAAAAGTTGTTTTTAGGGCCAGGGTTTTAGTTCAGTGGTTCTGCCGCCTGCCTCACAAGCAAAAGACCTGAGTTGGATCCCGGAACCAGAAAAAAGAAGTTATTTTTAGAAATTCAGGCTGAGAAGATAAAATTGATGTAATGGAAGAATAACCAAGGGAAAACATAAAGTTCAGTCAGCCTGAAGAACTTGTATTGAAAATTGCTCTGAGAATTATCTGTATTGACAATTAGATTTGCCAAGGAAGAGAGAAGCATCAGGAGACACAGTTGCTATTTCAAAATAACTATAGTTTATAGAAGCTGTGTGTATTCTGAAATTACTAAAACAGTTTAAAGTTTTCTAAAATCAGGTGCCTAGGTACCCTAGTGCAGTTCAGAATAGTTTTAAGGATTCAGAAACAAGATGATTGTGGACTATGCCTAGTCAAAATGGCTCTTGATCTTGAATTGAAGAGCAGCTTTGACTGTTGCTAGGAATAAGAAGAAGGCAGACATGGTAAAGAGAGTCTGTAGAAGACTAATACAGTAAGCTGCTTGTAAATGGGGCTCAATTCAGAATTGGATTAATTTTAAAAGTTTATACTCGTTAACCCCAACTTAACATTATTTTCCCCATAAGACTGTTCTCTGAGAGGTATTATTACTAATTTGTTCAAAAGAAATATATAAAGAAGCAAAAACTCAAAACCTCACTTTCCTAAAGACAGAATGATCTAGAATTTGATGTATTTAGAATTTACTATTTGCACATTTTATTTTCAGATAATGAGGCCTTTTAGGACCTTTAGTGTTACACGTAAGGGCAAACCTTGACTGGTCCACCATTAGCAATTTGGTTTTGGGCAGATGTAACATTTTTCCTGTTACTTTTAATGTAGGGAAAGATGTCATGTGTATAAACTAATTTATAAGATGATTGAATAAACTGGTTAAAATTGCTTATAATTCAAACATACTAAAATATGATAAATTGAGATAAACGTTTAAAATAACTTGTAGTAAAGAACATAAATAGTTTATTTTGTATAACTTGACAATTTTCTCAGTATAATTAATTCTGTTCACTCCCTTTAGGAGACAAGGATGGCAGCAAGGTGACCACAGTTGTGGCAACTCCTGGGCAGGGCCCAGATAGACCACAAGAAGTCAGCTATACAGACACCAAAGTGATTGGAAATGGATCATTTGGTGTAGTGTATCAAGCCAAGCTTTGTGATTCAGGAGAACTGGTGGCCATCAAGAAAGTATTGCAAGACAAGAGATTTAAGGTAAAACTTCTGGTATTTCATGTTTTTTGTTGCTTTCTTAATTGATTATTTTTTTCAGTTGCTTCTTTTTGCTTTAGATTTCATGTGTTATGTTCATTTTTGTTCAGCTAAACTATAGTAACTTATTTCTAATTGTATATTTTATAGAGATTAAAAATGCTAAAGATTAATACTTTTGCTACCACTGCCATGAGTGATACATGTATATACAATCCTATGGAAAGTGAAGTTAAAATTTCTTAATTTATTCTTCAAAATAGCCATCTTTCTCTGCATTGTGCCTTTTGTTTTAAGAGTAACATTGATTGTGACATGTGTATTTGATAGTTGGCTGTATTTCTGTTCTTGAAAAATATCCTCTAATCTGTGATACAGTGCTATTGTTTTTCCCCATAACTCTTTCTTTGCTATCTTCCCTTCTTTCTTTTTTCTTTCTACCCCTAGAAACTAGTAATCCCTAAAGTTCAATTTTGTCATTTATTTTTATTTCCTTAAAGGATCCTGTGCATGGCAGTTTTTCATGTCACTCTTTGTTGTGGTTAAGTAAGGTGTGACCACTATTCTAAAATAGCACATAATCTAGTTTGTATCTATTCTAGAATATTTTGAAGGCATTTGTTTTTTAATTCTAAAATTTTTATTTCCAGTTCTCACCTTTTTCCCCAACCATTAGGTTCATGTTGCCACATGTCTACTGGATCTTGATACCTGATTGTTTTAGTATTATCTCACATTGGCAGGGTTTCTTATCTAACTCTGACTGACAGCTTTTAAGCCCCAGTGGAAAGCATTCATCTTGGTTTCCAGATATTAGGATTTGCTTTCTCCTTCTAATAGCTTCTCACTTAACATATTATTGAGACTGTTCCATTCTCTCATTTTTAATATCCACTCATTGTCAAACTTGATTTTCCTCTTCCCCCTCACTCTTCTGTTGATTTGTCTCTTTTTTACATCCCTAGTCAGACCTATTCATTATTTGTCTTAACCATTAGTAAGCATTTACATTTGTCTCTTCCTTCCAACTCCTTCGTATACCAGCAGCATATTCCTCCACTCCTGCTTAGGCATGTTTTTCCCTTGGGTAATTTGTAATGAGAGAAGTTTATTGAGTTCACTCTTGGAGAATGAAAGTCTAAACAGCATGGTGTAATCTTTGGTGAGGGTCCCTGTATCTGTGTTACCTTAGGACATATGATACCATTGCTAGAGCATGAGCTAGCATCTGGTTGTGCTACAGATGGTTGTATCATCTGGTTGTGTTACAGGAGGAAGCTAGAGAGTGACTAGGGGAGTAGGCTTGATCTTTTATAAAGCTATCTCTTGAGAAATAACTACAGTCCCACAAGAACTGTGTCAGTTCCTTTTAAGGCTGCTATCCACAGTGACCTAATTACTTCCCACTAAGCTGCATCTCTTAAAGGTTCCACACCATCTCCCAACACCATTAAGTACCAAGCTCTCAACACATGAACCTTTAGCACATCAAACCACAGCAACTTTCCTTCTATCTAAACAATTAGCATATATGAACACCCATCTCTGATTTTTCCTCTCTGAAATTTTCTAGTTATTCCATATTCTAAATTTCTAGCTACCTGTGCAGATTTTCCTATTCAAATTACTTGAGCTGTAATTGTTTCTTCACTAAGAAATTCCATATTTTTTTTATAACAGCATCTCTCTATATATTAGGTTTTTCTCCTGGACACTACCACATTTGATTTTGAGGTGTTGGTTAGTAGTTAATGGTAATAGCAAATACTTAGCAAATCCTTATTGTATGATTTTTTTTTTATGTGACAAGTCTTAATTTTGTCTGTGTAATTTCTACTATGAGATTGATACTGTATTTATTATTTGGATGAAGAAACCTAAACACAGGGGTTCTAAATTAACTTGATAACAGTTCTCTTGACAGCTATTGACAGTTTTTTTTTTAGCAATGTATGTAGGTGCTTTATTGGAATAAATTTCTTTCTACCAGTGTATATATATTTTGTTTTTTTTCCTGAAATATTTGAGTGTGGCCTTTAAAGTATGATGTCCCTTTGTCCCTAAATTAGTTTGTGGAAGAATGTATATATTTTTAATACTCTTTCAATTTGATAATGTAGTTCTCTTTATTTAATCAAAAATTTAAATATAAAGTTTGATAGCTTTATTTATGTAGGTCTTAAACTTCTCTTTATTTGGAGGTACTTTGTAGTTTTGTTGTTGTTGTGCTTGTGAATGAGATTAAAAAATAACAATTTCTAACTAGATCCTGAGTTGGATCCCTGGTACAAAAAAAAAAAATTCTATTTACAAAGTTCAATAAAAAAAAATATGGTAAATCTTTTTTCCTAGCATCAGTTTTATTTGTTTTATAAGTCTTTATCAAGCTACTTATTATAAGCACAGATTAGCCATCAGAGTAACAGGCCAAAAAAGTATAAAACATGGACAATTACACTGAATCAAGATACACTTTTAGGTACATTGACCATGCAGGATCACAGTAACTCTTTTTTTCCTACTGTCTCTCTTTTATTTTGCAATTTATCTATATACTGAATTTTTCTTTTTTATTGAGTTTATTAGTATTTTTTAAGTATACAGTACAGTTACATTCATCATTAGGATCTTGTACCTTTACATGACAGATATTGGTTCTCATTTTTATACTGAATTTTTCATGTAAAAGAAACTGTGATATTTAAGTTTGTGTGTTTGATTTACTTCATTTATTATGGCCTCAAGGTGCACCCATTTTCTTGTAAATGACTCAAGTTCATCCCTCTTTACAGGAGAGTGGTACTCCTTTGTGTATAAATACCACATTTTATTTATCCACTCATCTGTTGGTGGACATATAGGCTATTTCCAAGATTTAGGTACTGTAAATTGTGCTGCTGTAAACATGGGTATACATGTTTCACTGTAATATGATGTCTTTAACTCTTCTTTTTTTTTTTTTTTTTGGTACTGGGATTCAACTCCAGCCCCTGCACGTGAGAGGCAGGCAGCAGAACCACTGACTGGATGACACCTAGGAGAGGAATGGCTAGATCAGATAGAATTTCTATTTGTACTTTCTTTGAGGAATTTTCATAGTAATTGTATCATCTTACACTCCCACCAACAATGAAAAGAAGCCCCCCACAAGTCTCCCTAGCATTTTATTTTACTGATTTCTTGATAAATAGCCATTCTTTCTGGAATGAGATGGAATCTCGTTTTTGTTTTAATTTGTATTTCTCAAATGGCCTGTAATGTTGAACATTTTTCAGGTATTTATTGGCCCAAAATTTGTACCTCTTTATCTGAAAAGTATATATTAATTTCATTTGCCTATTTTTTAATTAGATCTTTACATTTGGGCAGTCTTATTTTTTGAGTTCTTTATATATTCTAAGTATTAATCCTTTGTCAGAGGAAAAGCTAGCACAATTTTCCCCCATTCTGTAGGTTGTCTTTTCTCTCTTCGTGGTTTCCTTTGCTGTGCAGAAACTTTTTAATTTGATATTATCCATTTGTTGATTTTTTGGAGGGGGTACTGGGTGTCAAACTCAGGACCTTGTGCTTGCCAGGCAGACGTGGCACAACTGAGCTATATCCCTAGCCCCATTTGTTGATTCTTGATGTCTTGTCTTGTGCATGTGAGGTTCTGTTTAGAAAGTCTTTGCCTATGACTATGTCTTCAAGAGTTTTACCTATTTGTCTTCCAGCAGATTGTTTCTGTTTTACAGTTTTGATATTTGATCCATTTTGAGTTTACTTTAGGGCACATATGGGTCTAGGTTTAATCTTCTGTGTGTGGATAGCCATTTTTCCCAGCACCCTTGGTTAAAGAGGCCATCTTTCCTCTGGCAAAAGCATTGGACCCTTTCGTCAATGTGCCTGGAGTTGTTTACTGTATCCTCTAATTCTATTCAATATGGTGAATTTTTATTGATTGTTATCAATCATTCCTCCCCCAAAATACTCCCCCTCCCTTTGACCACACTTATCACATTATTCTTGCCACTTTCTAAAGTAGTTTTCAGTCTTCTTTTAAAGAGTATCTTTAGTTGCAGCCCCATTGTTGCCTAGATGTCCTGAATTGATTCAAAACATTTACCTTTCATGATCATTTTGACTAGGGAAAAGCCACAGGTTGCACAGTACCTGATCTGATGAATGAGGGCACATTGTAATGTTTTATTTGACTGAACTTGCCATACCAGAAGCAATATGTGACTTGAAATATTGTCAGTGATGGGAGGGTGAAACCAATTGCCCATGTCTCAGGCTTTTTTCTGTGCACATTGTTAAATGCTCTAAACTGCTCTTATAATATTCAGAGTTCACACTAGTGTCTTCGGTACTTAACTCTGCTCACACAGTTTTATTGAGATCAAAAACAGCAGCCAACATCACTTTTAAGCTGAATGTTGATAGATGTACTTTTTTTGCACATGGAAAACTGGGTAATTTCTGTTGATAATTCTGAACTTTGGTCTCAGCTTCGTAACTATACCCCCAAGTTTCATTACTTGTTAAGAAATTTCATAAAAGGCTGGAATCTGAAGTGACACTGTCACCCACGTCCAACGAATTGACAAAATTTTGTGTGAATACGCTGTTTGTCAGCTGCAATTATAGCACAGTTTAAAACACACCTTCCAACCATAGCTCACAGATGACTGACTGCACCTAACAAGTCGAAACTTGACACACGCTGTTACTAAGGTTGTCTTTATTAGAATTTGAACCCTTTTTTATCATTGGAGAGGAGGAACAGGTAGCTTTGCCTGATATAAAAATGTCAGAAAAAGGAAATAATGATAAATAAGGTAAAGAGAGCCCCCCAGAGCCTTGAGTCACAAAAAGTTGTATACTATTAGATTCTATGTAGGCTTTATACATGTTTGTGTGTTGACAGGGAAAAATAACCATGCTTCATTGTTAACCCTGCAGATGTCATGGGTCAATTTTACCCCTTAACAATATGTAAGAAGAGTCTGTATCTCTTAAAC